ACCACGATGCTAAAGCAATGGTATTTCAAAAGCTTAGCGCAAAATGACCCCCATCTATACCCACCAGGCTTTATAGAACGTTAAAGCCAACTATTTAAAAATTGATGATGCCAAGTTCCAAATTTATTTCGCGTAATTAAAATACTATTAAGGTGTTTGGGATATGGACGGGAAGTTTTAAAGTCCCACAAGGACCTCTGAAAAAATACACAGAGACCCGGAGAAGAAAGAATATGGACTGGGCTTTGCACGAGCCTTTCTAAAGTACTCAACTCAACACATAAACCTAATTAAATAGGCTTAAAGAACTTTGACATTACTTCCATATTTATGCATATGTATATATTTATATTTATATATATCTTGCGCTCCGTAGCAGGTGATCTCTCCTAAACATAGAAATCACAATGTATCTTAGCACTTTGCAGTTAAAGTTTGAGCACTTTAAAATTAACTCTTACCTCTCCTTCAGTTGACTGAAGGGATACTGTAGATTTTTTAATATCCAAGGCCTTTTGCTAACCTGGAGCGGATTCATTATACATCTATGGTAGCTCATATGAATGTTCCAGAATATCAGGTAGTAAATCAAAAAAGTGAAAAAAATAGATTGTTTCAACGTCAGAGTTTGTAGGACTTTGCAAATGGGCATCTGGTAAGTCTAAACGTGAAGAAAAAAAATCACAGATTACCCGAGTTGCTGCTATGATATTTGCTTGTCGTCTGGAAAAATTATACAATTCTGCCCATCATAGGGGAAGGGGATGAAGTGAAGGGAAAAATGAAAGGGTAGCAAAAAAGAAAAAATTACGTTATCGACTTCGGGTTCGGGAATTTTGATAAATTGCAATAACCGTTCATCAGAAAGGGCTACTATTTTTTAACTTCTTATTTTCCTATAAGAAAATTGGATATTATACACTTTTAGACACCAAAGCTAGAAAAAAGCCAAAAGAAAATATCGCATTTCGAGGGATACATTATGAGATATCTTTCATTCTAACAAGCCTCAATGCATATATCGTCATTGCTGTGACCTCAAATGGCTGAAAGTATACATTAAGATAAGGGTCTAGTAAAAAGCTTTGTGAAGAAGGGATGAATAATTTTATAGGAAAAATCTGTACACTAGCCTCGATTTACGGGGCAAGTGCGTGTCAAATAGCACGTGCACGGACGAGGTTTATAAGTCTGGAAAAAGCCAATTAGGCTGAGGGAAAACCATGGCAGAATAGAAGAGTCAGACTTGAAGGTAATCAACCAATAAAATAGGTGGATACTTCGTGTTGATCGGGCTGAAGGCGGGACTCCAGAGTGTTTCCGAAAACACCGACTGCCAGGAAGATTAACTTGACGACCTTCGGAATTGTCTCAAGTCTACTGAGGAGAAAGCAAACAGCTGCCTAAATGGAAGCCCTCTTTCTAGCCAGATCCATCGTGGATATCGAGGATGAATCCACGTTACCATTCGCCTCCATTTGACTCCCATCCTCATCCTCATCATTATCATCATCATCATCGAAATCTTCTTCGGTTTCGTACTCCTCCAATTCTTCTTCTTCGTCCTTCCTTCCTCTCACATCCTCGAAAACCAAGCTTTCTTCGTCATCCCCATGTCCTACGACGACACCATATTTTGCCTGTCGTAAGAGGAAAAGCATTGTAAAAATTATAATTTATACGCTAATAGCAATATTTAATTTTATATACGTATTTAAATATATATTACTGCCACTTGATATAGGCATCTAAGGGAGATATCTGAATGAAATAAAAGAAAAGGAAAAGCATGATGAATGGTTGGGGAATATTAAAAAAACTTATTCTACAACATGTTACCGCTTCACGTTCGTCCGCTTCTTTCGCAGAAAAGTCTCCGAATTAAACCGTAGAATACATTAAATTACCTATCAAAATTGAAAATACTGACCAATAGAACATGATGTATCGTTTTAGCATGGTTCTTAATTTAAGGCTTTTCCGATGCAATAAAAATACTTTTTAAAGTTGGTCTTTCTTATCAAACATCACATGTATGCATCATAATAGGATTTTTAGAAAAAAATCCAGGTCGAACTAGCCCCCCTAAATTTTGAAGTTGCCTCCTCTGTCTTGATTCCCCTCATTGCAGCCATTATCTTGTTGATTCTAATTGCTCTTCAAAAACATCTTCTAGATGACGCCATTTCCGATTGCATAATTTGTTTCCATGATGCGGACAGCTTTTTGCTGCTCTCATTGATTTACGACTTTCTAAAAGTTCAGAAGTCATCAAGTAAAATTCTTGATGATCCTTCTTCCGATGAAGATCTTGTTCAATAGGCCTGTTTGAATGATGAAAAAGGCTGCCCTAAACTTCTTTTTTTTTTAATTTCACCATATGAGACCAACACTTTAGTTATATTCCAGTTAATATTTAGGCCAGGCGATGCAATTTGTTGTGCTTACTTCCATTTCGAGTGAAAGTGTTTGGTGAAGAGATTCGACGGTCGATTCACCAGAAGACGAAGACTGATTCTTCTTGACAAACTGTCGATTAGCTTTACGGAAAAATTCATGTTGACGCTGTTTCCGAGGCAATCTCCTTCAATTCCGGTGAACAAGTGCTAAGCTTTCGTCCGCTATATGACGAACATCATCATTTAATTTTAGAAATGTAATTTGTGTCGCCGCCTCATTCATACTATTATAAAAAGTTTATGGCATTCTCAAAGTATTATGCTAATTGTTTTTTTTCCGTTTATACAGAATACCTTTATCTATAATGGTTGTAGCTGACACAGTCAAGCATGGAATTAATAAAGATTTACCTCTATTTTTTCCTACTACCAAGACTGGCGCTATTTGCTGAAGAGATCTACCATGATACAGACAAAACCTTTGCGAATGCACTCCGTCATCTATCCTATGGCGAACAATATAGAATAACCTTTGCGAAGTCTTCCAAGTATAAGAGAACGCAAGTGCTTGGTACACCGTGAGCAGACAATCCTTGCCTAAATCACCAAGAGTACAGCACAAATTCTCCACCTTTAATGGTTTACTACTCTAGTAATTTAGAATATATATCAGAAAGTACGAGTAAATAGTAAAAACGAGATTAAATCAGCTTTAAATGTTTTTACTCGGAGGTATGAAGACCAAGATGTTGTGCCCATTTGCGTGGTCGCAGTCTCCTTTCGTTGTATAGAGTTTGTTTGACCTTGTTTTCGTAACTTGGTCATGTTGGTAGGAAGGCTTAGAGGAACGCACCTAGTCCGAAATCCATTGTCTGCATAATCATTTCCAAAGTTGAACCGTAGACATGGTACATTTCCAAACGTTTCACCGGCATCGTCAGTGAGTATCGGCATTCTTAGCACCATACAACAACTCGTCAAAGAGATAAGTGAAGTCGATCCTTTGACCAAACTTGTGCCAAACAATTGTGGTATCTCCCCTTCTGCCCTGGGTTATTCGCGTTTCCGGTAGCATCCTATCATGCCTTCACCATTACAATTTTCCGTGTTTATTTTGATGTAGTGTGGTGTGCTCCTTTTAGCGACATGACACATTCACACTCCAACCGTCGTTCTCACCCCCACTTCATCATTGTGCAAGGAATGGTGATCAGTCTGCTTTATTATTATGCAGTCCTCTTTCCTAGTCTTATCTCAGTCTCTCTCTTGCTCCGTAA